TCCGTTCAAGGGAAAGAATATAAACAAAATAACGTTCGCAAAAAGCACTTGAGTGGTCTTTTGTGTGGGAACAGCACCAGTCTATGTACAATGACAAGGCCATCCAAACTATGCACAATGACCATCATAGGAAATATTTTATTTTGGTATGGTAGAAAGACCGCACCCGCTGAAAATTTAAGTTTTAAACACGAAAATGGTGCGGCGTTTCTTCCGGAAATAACGTTAACTGCATGATCTTATCTATAAAAAATTGCTAAGTTAATTATGAGATTATTTTCTTAAGTTTTGGTAACCTGATATGCTTATAGTGAAAATTATTTCTTGTTCTTTTTTTTAATTGATTAGTTAATAAAAAATATGAAAGTAAAAGTTACCCTTCTTTTCATCTTTTGCTCACAAATCATTATGCAGTTATCCATTTACCTTAAAAATGCATGTCTGTGATTTTATGGTCATGCGATGATTTGTAGATACTTTATTTTTTACCACGGTATTTCCGACGATGATGTTTTTAAACTGCAAAGTTTTTTAATCGCTTTATTTTCAACAATGATATTTTGTACCACGATATATTAGAACTGCGATGTTTTCTGTTTGCTTTATTTTCTCCCACGATGTTTTGTACCACAACATTTTCGCATTGCGTTATTTTCTTCGCAATGTTTTTGGCTGTAACCAAAAAAATGCCCCTATGGATGTAATTTAAAATCTGAAACTTTTTTTTTTTATTTTGAGGGGAAAAAAAAGCTTAGAGATAATTGCATTCAGTGTTCAATCAATGGGGAAGAGCAGATGATAACTTTGGTATTATTGAAGATAATCCTAGAAAATGCTTCTTAAACAGGAACACAAATCATAGCTGTCTATCACATAGTAATTCCTTGACTTATATAAATTTGCAGTTATATAAGTATTGAAAAGCTACAACATGCAAACTGAATCTTAAAGAAATAAGGTCTCTAAACAATTTTTCATTCTACGATTCATATTTCAGGCATTCAAATAATATTCATGTGATTGATTTAATTACCATTAATGTGTATTATTTATTTACCCATAAAATGTATTCAAAATGCAAACTGAATGCACTTAAAAATTGTTTTTGTTTACAGTCCAACCCCATTATAATGAACTTAAAATGAAAATTGTGTAAAAATTGTGACTAGTGTAAAAATGTATTAATGAAAAAGTGATAAGCATTATCGTATCTCTCAAAAAAAGTGAATAATAGCTCTTAATTTAAAAAAAAATCATGTGAAAGGTTAACTGTAATTATTATGTGCTATTGTTAAATTTCTTTTTATTCTTTTTTCAGTTTCATAATAAGTTAAAAATTTTATGTGATAAATTACTTGGCATAAAAATCATGTTTAGACACATCCCAATTACACAACTCTATCTAAAATACATATGATTAGCATTTGTTTAGACAATGGCAAACTGTAGCTTCTTTGAATGGTGAACCATTTCAACAATGCTCTTTCAACATCTTTATGCTTACCCTTTTTTAACTTTATCCTTTTATTTAAATTTTTTACTAGAAGTATAAATTATTAAGTTTTTCCATATAGTACGAACTATACATTTGGATGAACTATATTCTAAGCAGATATTGATTTGGCTAGATCTATTCTATGTCGCCCAAGTGATATAGTGGTTAATGGAGCCTACTACGGTACCGAAGGGCCCAGGTTCGAATCCTGGAGAAGACTTGAATATTTGTAAATGTATAATGTCGTTGCGGCATGGAGGCACTCTAAATATGTGTCGAGTTGAAAATCCTCTTGTGTGGATTGGTGGGAGAGGAGAGGGCTGCCCCCCCACCCGGTGCAAATTGGTGGTGGAAAATAGAAGTCCAGCCTTCTTCAGAGTAGGCTCTTGCAACCATTGTTCTATGTAATAGGGACACGACAACAAAAAAATATATTCTGTATTTTTCCGAATGATGCCTATTTACATCCAGTCCTTCAGAAAGAATAAATAAATAATAATATCCTTATAAAATTATCCTAAATCCTGCAAAAGGTGTAAAGAATGCAACGTCCTCCCATTCAGAAGGCAGAACTTTGACAGCAGTTTAAATACTGAAACAAAACAAAGTGATAAGGACAAAAAAATTCCATTCTTTAAAGTTGAATCACTGTATAGCTTCAAGTTCAAAAGAATATTCAATACTTCCTGTTCCTAAAATAGCAAAAATTCAGAATTTCCATCAACCTTGAACACAGTTTTGTTAGCTCTGTCAAAGAACGTGAATTTAATCAGAGGAACCACTTAAGTTTTCCGACTCAGTTGTCATAGTTAGCATATGCTGTCCTAAGATACTTTTATTGTGTGTCTTTATCCAAGAATTAGGTGTTACATGTGCTTCATAGCATTTGAGAACACAGAGAAAATGAGGCTGCAAATAAAAGAACAATAACATATAGATTTTCTACTGTCCTTATATTGTAGTAATGTGGAACCTAACGTCTTAAACATGGGTGATTTTAAGAATTAAGCCCTGTTTCCATTCGTGCGTTGCTAACTCGTAGCGTCATTTTGAGAAACACATGCACAGACAGATGATCGTTTACATTATTGCGTTGGACTTACGTGTATGGAAGTTCGGTGGTTGATTGCATTTATTGCCACCTGATGGGTCTGTATTTAATTTACGGGATTCGGACACTTACGATTAATTCAATGTTATTGGAAAATTTTATTTATCCTTATTATCTGTGAAAGTAAAGCACTCTAGCAATTTTTAGATAAGTAAGGTAATAATGTATATTATGAGCCATTTCTAATTGCTGAGGGAACTTTTACAAATTTCTTTGTGTTTCTAAAAGCCTTAAATATTAACGAAATAATATATAATTAAAACTAAAATGTACTGTTATTGCAATACAAAGGGAAAAAGTTAAATAAATTTAAAAATAGCCAGTACTTTAAAAATACAGAGCAACTGTAAAGACAGGTTCACAATGTTTACACAAAATCTGCCATGCTTGTGTACGGTTTACTGCCCCGTGAGACTGTATATTTTAAAAATATGCCTACATTTCTGGAGAAAACAGATAGTATATAAAATTTTAGAATCAGTTTCTTCAATGTCATAGCTGGATAATTTATTAGAAATCTCATTTGTTTTAAAATGCACTATGCACAGTTATATTATATGCATAATCTATAAAATATTAATTTTAATTTATAAATTTTAAATTCATCTCTTTTTATAGAAGTTATAAAGATAAACTTTTTTCTCTTTATATATATATATATATATAAATACATAAGGTTAAGATAATTCAAATATTTAATTAATTAATTCCTCTACTTCAGCTGGAGAGAACTGAATTTTAAAGCAATTATTATAAATTTAAAAAATGTTTTTTATTAAAAAATATTTAGGGCATTAATACTGTCTCACGTTAATTGGTGGTGAAAGTTTAGAGCTGGATACATCCTAAAGTCTCAGCACATGTATGTACATTCACATAAAAGTGAAATGAAAAAAATATATATGTGTGTGTGTGTGTGTACAAGGAGTATACTTTAAATTTGTATTATATCATAACTTTCAAAATAAATTCTTGAGGGGGAAATTTAAATAAATGAAAGCATAAGTAAAACATATTCAATGCACAAAAATAATAGAAATAAATTATAAAACACTAATATAGATCAGATTAGAATAGAGCTAAGAAAGCTGCAAACAGGGTGGAAAAAGAATATAGGATTCAAACTTGCACGACACCAAAAGGCATTTTTCGCTTCCGTCAGCTGTACCACTGTGTTATCAGCACACTGACATGATTAGCAATTTTGGCTTGTATACATCATCAAGTAAAGGAATTCTTAAAACTAAATTTTTTGGTCCTATTTCAGTGTGCTATTGTCTAAAAAATTCACCAGAGTTTGTTCTTCAGCTTCTAGGGCATTTCTTACAAAAACATAATTTTTTAAAGTGGCATTCCGATTGAAGTTAGACGGACTGATAAAAATATATCCAAGTGAAAGATGTGCTGACAAATATATATTAGCCAATAAGGTATATTTATAAATAGAGAAATACAAATTTAACATACTTTTTAATGCAGTAGAATATTTAAAATGATATCAAATTTAATTTATAAATATTGTTGTTAGTTTTTACCTGTTTCAGAAGAAAAAAAAAATCTTTTAATGCTTTATCTGATTTGCTATAGTAGTTTGATATAGTCAGACGTTCGTTTTCATTAAAAGTAAATGTGCATGTAGAACTAGGAAATAATTGTAAGGACAAATTTTGCTATTTCATTGTCTTGGAATTAATTTTTTTGCACTTGATTTTCTTGACAGTAATCACTGCTCTCTGCGAACTAATATTGTAGTTGCAGTTATCTTATTTTTCTTTTCTTTTTTTTTTAAACTAAATTCAGTTGATTGCTGTCTTTTTCAGTATGCAGATTTCTCACTATAATTTTAATTCAGAAATAAGTATTTTTTAGAAAAACATTCTTTTCCTGATCCAGCATTCACCGCTGCTCCTGCCGCCATTGGTTTTTGGTGACGACACCTAATTGCTCCTTTTTTACCACATGATCCCAACGCTTCCGCAGACATACGGATAGAAGTTGGACTCCATCCATACATCACCCGTCACTGCATATCGACCGGATTGCAGCTGTCAATCAAAGTGAATTCGCTTGCTGATTGGAGAAAGGCATGTGCAGAAGTGGAAATGGGCTTTTAGTAATTTTTCAGCTAAAACATTTGGACAATAATGATAATACAAAAAGGTTGAGTAAAAGATATCCATAAAGTTTACTTATTTTTCATACATTTGAAAGTTTGCTACAGGCATATGAAATAACAATAAGTGTTTAGGAAATTGGATTGGACCAAAAAGTTCTTTATATGTGGAAGTTTGTTATATACCAGGTTCACTATAGTGGGGTTTGACTGCATATCAGTTTTAAGAATTACCCTGATAAAGCTTTTAAGAATTACCCTGATTAAGATCTCTTTTGCAGTTACTCACTGTAAACTTTGCCATTGAGAGATGTAGAAGGATTTGGGTAAACTGGATTGACTGTTGATGTGAAATATCAGGTATATTTTAGAGGAAATATAATAGTATGTTTTATTGTTAGTTACAAACAACAAACAATTTAAGAGTGCTGTGTAAACATTTGGGATAAATAAAATAGTTAGTAAACTTACAGAATGTCTGGATTCATTGTCTGCAATAGACAGTTTTCATAAATGCTTAAATTAGCTAAGAAATTATTTCTAGAGCTCTGGCTGTTTGTGGTATTGGAGAACAGTGTTTTGAATGCTTACTTTAATAATTTTTCATGAATTTTCACTTGTTCATAGAAATTGTTCTCTCCCTACCCCAATAGTGTTAAAAAAAATATACTGAGTTAAAAGTTACATTTATTTTTTTGTGAAGTGCAAAAACTGTTCTAGCTGATCCTGAAGAGAATATGAGTTTGGTAATAAGGTAGGTGCATATTTAGTAAGGAAGCTTTGTAATTATTCCTAAGTATGTATGACTACACTTTTATTAAATATAAATTTTGCTGCAGTTAGCTGTTCAAAGCAGATGGTTTAATGACTTGGTCTGTCAGGTATGTTGTTTGTATTGACTTACTTGGTGATTAATTATACTGCAACAAAATTACTTAAAAGTCTACTTAACCTAAAATCAGTATTTCTTATTTACAACAGAAAAATAAAGATTATTATTATTATTATTATTATTATTATTATTATTATTATTATTATTATTATAAACCTTGTAAATGTAAAACTTAATTTTCTTTTCTTTTTCTATCTGCTTTTTCCCTTTGTCCTTTTCTACCTCTTTCTAGGTGCTTAAGGGAATAACTGTCATATTTCAGTTAGCTTTTATTACTTGGTAATTTGTTATTAATTAATTGGAAAATGCAGATGATAGCTGTCTTTGACATTCTGATTATTTTCAAAAAATTATTTTATGAACTTATTTTTAAAATAGATTTTCCACATTTTTCTACATAAATAATCCTCTTGATTCTAATTTCGTTTTTGTTCTTCAATGTACTCAATTGATTACATTACTTTGGCAGAAGATGTGTATGACTATGGAACCGATTATTATTATGAATCTGAAGACTGAAATTGGATAGCTTTGGCATTTTCTTCTGTAAGTGTATATTATTTTTAAATTTATACTATTTATTTTTAATAAATTTTGAATACGGTTCACATTATTGCTTAAAATGTGTTTTATTTGGAAGGATGAATTTTGTGATTAAAACTTAACTTTACTGATTATAATAATTTTTTCAGTTTTATATATAAATTAGATGGAGTTACTATGCTAAAGTAAAAATATGAATTTACTATGTTAAAGTAAAAGTATATTTCTAAAAGAAGTTTAAATGACAACTTTTCCTCAATCTGCATTCTTTGCAATTGTTGCATCCACAAACTATGACCCCATACAAGACTGGTGCTAGGTATTTTGCTGGCCAGTGTGTTAGCTCTGGTTTGTAAATTATATTGCCCAGTGTATGTCTAAATTCTAAAACTTTTGTCTCTCCTAAATCCATCTGCATGGTGCAGCTGCACAGGTTGCACTGGTGCTAGCACTGGCCCTGACATTACTACACTTCAAAATCTGAAATCTGGTGTCCAATATCCGGAATCATCTAAGATCCGGACCACCAGCTAAAAATAAATAAATAAAAATCCTCTACAAAATCTAAGAATGATGAATGTAATACTAAGCAAACGTAAGCAGGTGTGTCATGAATGCAATTTTTCTTGGAACTGTTTATAAGTAGAAATTGTTTACAATTAAAAAAAATCATTGCTTGGTTTCTTACAGCATGGTAGGTGCATAACAGAAAAGCCTACAGTGATTCTGGATTAGAAATTTTGCAATTTTAGATTATAAGTTTAAATCTTATAAGATGACATGTATAAATTATGAAATTAAATTTACGAAGTAATAAAGCATTTGTAATTATAAAAAAATCAAAATTTGCAAACTAAAAGGGACTCAATATTTAAATTTTTTTTTAAAATTAAATCCTTTTAAATGTAAGTTATTTAATTTTTCTTTTGTTCCAATGCCTTCTCTTTAATTTTATAGACAAAATTTCTTCTTCAGTTTCAAAGTTGCATTGTACAAGTCCTGTAGTTGCCGTGTCAAGAATTTCCACTAAATTGTCAGTCCGAATCTTTTTATTCTCAGTAGTCTTTCTTCACTTTCAACAATGATATTTTCCAAAGTTAAAAACCATGATTTTGCTGTTCATTAATTAGTTGATTGATGATGTATTTCTTCACAAAATCAGTAAGTTGGCCAGATTAGCTGTAAATTATGCCAAGCACTTTTTTACATATCTGAAAATTTTTCCTTTTGTGATCTTGCAATGCACGTTATGTCTACACCGCAGATTTTATGGTAAAATATTCCAAAAATTCTTGAATAATCATGCTGCTGTTCAAGGCACGTAGCACAGATTTTAAAAAAGCTTGTTTTATATCTGCATTTCAACAAACCACGTGGATAACCAATGGCTGAATGTTGGATATGCTGTAAAGAAAAGACTTTAAGTGAAATGTGAACCAAACAGTTGTTTATAATCAGGAAAATTTTTGCATCATCCAGTAAACCAACTCAGCCTCGAATACGAAATAATCTTCAAATCAGTGATTTATGAATGTTTTTATCATCCATGCTCTTTTATTTGACATAGAAAATCTTTATTCTTTTTAATGGCCAAAGTTGTGCATTTGGTGTTCTCAACATCAGTTGAGATCTGTTCTGCAAAAGTCATTAAGGTATTTCAGTGCATAAATAGTAAATAACGACCAGTTTCATAAGCGTAATAAATTTGTTTTAGAGCTAATTTAATCAGTTTAATGAATTCATTTGCAAATTTTTCAGCTGCTTAAGTATTAGCTGAAGCTTTTTCACATGAAAATTTTAACTGTTTTAATACCATGGCAATTTTTTAATTTGGTTAACCAACCTGTCAAATATGTGCACTCAGTTTTTTTAGGTCTCATTTTCTTATGAAATATTTTGGCTTGAACCATTAACATTGGACCTGTCAGTGGCAGGCCCTGGCTGCAATGCTGTCTCTTTCATTTAATCATTGCTTAATCATGATTTTATTTTTAGCATAATGAATGATTTTTCTGTTATTCATTGAAATCCTTCTGAAGGTCTACTTTGGCACAATGGAGGGGCAGCAACATCTTCAAGAAGGGAAACAGTGGTGATAGTACTGGTGATAGTCTGTATAATGACTTGGGACCAGATAATTCCAAATTTTATTATTTATTATGCATAAGGTATCAGAATTGACAAAAAATTCAAAAAGTTTCTTTCTCTGTTTTCCCCCCTCCAAATTTATGCTCCTGTCATAAATTCGAGATGGGTGCCTTTATCCATTTTTTGTACCAATTTCGCTTTTTGCTTAATTGACATAGAAACATGCTTTTATTTTGTAGATCCCTTTGCAACTCCTGAATTAAAAACTGCTGTCAACATAATAAAAAAATTTTATTTTGATAAGATAGCTATAATAATACTAATTAGCTGGAAAAAAATAACCTAAATCAAATTATAAAGGAGCAGTGCACTTTGCTAAGTTAGCTGAATTTAAATCTCTTGGAATCTAATTCTCTGTCCCTTCCATGCTGCTCTGCCAACAGAAAAAAAAAACCAGTGTGAACAACATCCCACTCCATAGAAGTAGGCTACACTTATTGTTTAGGCCAGATCCCCTCGCACACAACAACCACTCAAAGGCCAAAAGTATTGTGGCTAACTTCAATACAATTTCAATCTGTATATTGTTATTGGCAGCAGTGCGATTCCCTAGCCAGCTGGTGCTTGAAGGTGACTTTAGGAAGTCAGAGCTATTCAGAAGAAAAATTTCTTTTACAGCATACTTTCTTTTTCTTGAGTGTTATATTTCCCATTCCCTGATTTTGTAAAGTGAAAAAATTTCTAAAAAAAATGCTGGAGGTCCGGAGGTCTGGATTTTGGCACAGTATATATCATTTGGTATTATGAGTAATTTCTTTCAGTTTCAATCAATCTTGCTTGTATTACCTATGCATGTGAGGTATATGCTAGTTAGATTTTAATATAAAGCCATAATTCAAATGTCTGCTCTGCCATATAAATTATACTTTCTTAGCCAAACTCAGCTGTAATGACGTTTGAAATAACAAACATTAGTAGGCATCATAATCTTTGTTCGAGGAATCAATCAAATGAAGGTAGCTGTTAATTAGGAAAATCAATTTTGCTGTTGATCAAAACTAACTGTCCATAATTTCATTGTAGACCATGAAAAGTATCATCAGAAATATGGGACTGAATATTGCTGCTGGTGGAATAAGTGCATTTTTCACCATGTTCATTGTTTATTGCATAACTTTACTTTTCTGTAGAGATTGATGTGAACATATGCATGTATCATTAAGGGTTGGTTACATTTTAGGCATTATATTTTATGCTTAAAAATGCTTTGTTTGTGCTGCATAGATTTCATGGAATAATTTACACAAGCAGCCATTTGAACTCACCAAACTGACTAAATAGAGTGTAGCTTATGACTGGCTGTTATTGCATTCTTGAAAGCCATTTCAGTTTCTTTGGATTTAGGCATATGCAGTTGAGATGTCGGATATCAATTTTTTTTTTTTTTAAGTGATTCTTCTATTTTAAATTTCAGGTCGTTTGAGATTAACAGTCTCCTCCAGGATGCTCAGTGGTATCATGGTTGTCTTTTAAGTTGACAGAAAAAAATCTTATAATAAATTAAAGGTTCTTGAACCTATTCAGTTGTTCGGAAAGTAATTCCTTTTTCTTTTTATGAAAATGAAAGAAGATTTTTCGTATATTGAATAAATATTTTATTGAATTATATATTGTTCATTCTGGTCCAGTACCTTTTGCCATCTTTCTGGCAGTAACATGATTCTATACTCATAAATTTTTTCCTTTGCTGGCTAAAAACGGATCAACTGATTTTTGATCTCATTTGAAGTAAAAGGTTTTACTGCCTAAAAAAAAAACATTGTAGAGACCGGGACAAATAATAATCAGAAGGTGCCAGATCTGGAAAATATGGTGGTAGTATATCCCTTTCAATCTGCAAAAGCTTTAGGGGAGGTACCAAACTTGGATGAGGCTTAGTATTATCTTGGTGGAATACTATACTTTTTCTGTTGATCAGTTCTGACCGCTTTTGTTTAAGTATTTCATTCAATTTGTCCAGCTGATGACAGTATGCTTCAGAATTGATCATTGTGGTATCTGATAGAAGTTAAAAGAAAAAGGATTCCTTTGTGAAATCCCACAAAACGGGTATCATCATCATTTTGATGAATATCAGTTTTCAAAGTGCTTCAAAAGCCGGTTCATCTCTTTTACTCCATGATCTCTTGTGTTTAAGATTGTTGTAGACAACACATTTCTTGATCCCGGTGACTTTGCATTTCAAAAATGGGTCATTTTCTTGACATTTGAGAAGCAAATCACAAATGTCAATGCAATGGCACAAATTTCTTTCCATAAAAATATGAGGAATTCATTTGTTGAGCTTTGAGATTAAACATAGGCATTTGAAATGATCATGAATAGTCGAATTCGATAAATTGAATCTCTCAGCAATCTCGCAAATCGTTATTCGCCAGTTTGCATAAATTAATGCCTTTATTGTGTCTTCATGAGCTTCAACTGGCCTTCCAGAACATGTTGCATTTTCGAGATCAAAATTTCCATATCGAAATTTAGCAAACATGTTTTGGCACTGGCATTCTGTCAGTATATCTTCTCCATACACATCAGGTAATTTTTTTTCTTGCTTGAACAGTATTTTTAACTTCTATAGTAAAAAAGTAAAATATGCCGAAAATGCATCTTTTCACTTTCCATATTTGAAAAGGCACCAACTAAAAACTTATGTAGAATCAACTGAACTTTTTCACAAGCAAGCCTTGCTATGTTAGATGTCAAAATATGTAATGATTATGCAGCTTAAGTGTGAAGTTTCAGTGAAAAGTACACTTAAGCCCTCTTTTGGAAATAAACGAAATTATTTTCCAAACAACTCAATATTTCCCTGACCTATGATCACCTTATTCATTGGGTTTGTTAAAAACTCCTGAAGGAAAAAAAAAACTGATTATATCATGATCGTTAGTGGCGAGAAATTAACCTTTCTTTTCATTTTACTAATCAGACCAGATGGAGAAAAAGCATAATCAAGCAGCTTACTGTGTAGAAAGTATTTGCTTAACATGTGCAAACACCATTATACAAGTTCATAAATTTGAACAATTTTGATTGAGAAGTCAAAATAAGCAAAACTGTAACTAAATTATAGAGAGCTTTGTTTACATTACAAGTTTCAAGGAAAGAATACAGGAAAAAGCTGAAAAAAGATAAAATATCTATCATTGACAGAAAAAGTTCTGTACAGTCAAAAGTTGTTAATTCGGACACCCATAATCCAGAATGATCTATAATCCGGACCTCAGAGCTAAAATCTTTCTGCGCATGTGCCACGTTGACGCATGCGCATAGGCGTTTTACGCGTGCGCGCAAGACATTTACGACTGCGCATATGTGTCTGCGCAAGCGCAAAATACGTTTTCGCGTGCGCGTTTAATGTAAAACGGAAGGTATAAGCTAAAATTATCTAATTATCTATTTCAGTTAATGTTGATGATTGCGTTGTTCCTTAATCTTCGAATTGGATCCGGCTTATTATTTTTTGCAGACTGTAAGAGCAATTTTATAAAAGTAAGCTTGAACTTTCGATTATGTCAAATAGAATTTCCGATGCTGAAGCTCCCAAAGGATCTAGAAAACGAAAGTATGCTTCGATGTCCATCAAACAAAAAACGAATTGCTATAAAAAATGGATAAAGGCATATCTTATCAATTTCACTCTGCTATGCGCGCGCGGGGGGGGGGGCGTCGCGGCGCCGGCAATGAACTGGAAGTTGATCTGTCAGCACTATCGTTATCTTTAGGGCAGATGTTTTTATTTTATTCGGCTTATAATTCCTTACTAAATGTAGTATTTAATCTCGATGTACTCCGTCTTTGATATGATTTAAATCAAATTCCTCGTCATTATAAATATCACGAATACAAATAAAATAGTTTTCTGGTTGCAATTTTCTAATTTCGGCTATGCGTAAGGTATGCTTTACGCATGCACGCGTTGAAAGAAATGTTTAATAAAATAAACATTAAGCTTCTTTTTTTGTAAATTTCGATACCCTTTAGATCATAATTCTCATTATTTTATAAATTACGGTTTGATATTTTTAATTTTATAATTTCTGCATGCCATCTTACCAGATTTAAACTGATGATCTATAATCCGGAATCGCCGAAGTTCCGACGAGTCCGGATTAAAGACTTTTGACTGTACTCACTTTATTTAAAATCTATCTAGAAGAAAAATGTTCTTCTAGTAGCCTAGTCAATGCAATCCTGATCCACTTGTGTTGAAGCCAGCTGCAGGGGTGAAAGCCCCCGCACACTCTTACGAGACTTAAAATGCTGCAACTCAAATCTCTCCATTCTGACTCTGCTCCAAAATCTGAATCAACAGCCAGCGCTCGCCTCTCAAAGGGGGAGCCCCGCCACTGCTTTTTGCTTCTCCTTTTCCTTTTTCTCAAAATCAGAATAAAGACTCCAGACTAACTTCTTACAATGTGCAGCCTCCGAGGTAAACTCTTCTCTCTGCCCCCCCAAAAATTTCATAAGCTTACAAAAAAAAAAAAAAAAAAAAAAAAAAAAAAAATCACAAATTTAAATCTCACCGGTTCTAAAATTTTACTTTATCTTTAACTGAAAAAAATACACGCCTTTTTTTTTTTTTTTTTTACATTACATTTTTCAAGAAACTACCAGCTAAATAAATCTTTAACAATTTAAGAATACTCTTTTTACCAGATTAAAAATATACATGAGTACAAATAAAAATACTAGAATAATAACTTAAAACAAACATTAATATAATTAAAATTCACGGCATAACACTATGAGTATATTAGATACTGAACCGAAAGACAGGTTAAGAAACAAAAAAGGCCATATCTGAATCTGTAACACCACAATAAATGCCTATAAACAAGAATATGTAGTATTTTGAAGTTTTAAGTGCTGTGCAATCTCATTGGAATGTCCGTTAAGAACATGTGAATTTTTATTGCTATATTGGACAAAACATACATTGAATGAACTGGTGATCAGTGAAAGCAGATTATTTAGAAGTGTTATTTGAGGTTTAGCTGATTTCTGGGGAACTCTAACAAAATTCTTCTGTGCTTAAGATGTATCACTTTTTTCTTTAATTCTATAATCAGTTGGTCTCTTTTTACCATCTTTTTCTGCTTTGTTTTCAGACTTTTTGTTAAAATTCTTATCAAACTTCCCTATTTATAATTTAATTATCATTCCATGTGCGTACTCTTTGGCATAGGAAAGGTGAAGCTATGTATTACAGCTCTTTGTTTCTTGGCGTTTAGTCATACCTTTTGGGTGGGGGTGGTGATGTTCAACTGCTTTAAGGCTCACCAGCGGCGGAGCGGTAATGTCGCTGAACACTGGTAGTTTGGTCCGAGGTTCGAATCCTGCGAACGGGCTGGCTGCATGGGTGTTTTCCCCATGTGTAACGTGTATACGAGCCAGTTTCCCTTAGAAAGTCCTCCACGAAGGCATCCCTCCCTTAAGGCAGATAGCCCTTGAGTGCTTTGCCATAATTTCATAAAACCAAACCAAACCAAACCAAACCAATCAACTGCTTTAATGCTTCTCTGCTTTTTAAACATGATGTAACAGTACCAACTCTGTATATCTTGCAACCTCCTTCCCACAATACAAGTGAAAATTGATTTTTCTCAATTTGAAGCATGATTTATTTCATCAAGTGCTATTTGATTAGTTCTCAAAATAAAAATGTGATGACGAATATAATTTATAATTTTAAAATATAACAGCTGAATCAAGTTAAGTAATTCTCTTTCAGACTGCAGATATTTTTGCTATTCATGCTGAATTTTACCAAACTTGCAAAGTGTATGAAAACTACAAAAAATGTCAGTAGTTTGAAAACTACTGTACAGGATCATTTTTGAGATATTTGGTTTAATATATTATAGTCTGCTTTACTTATTGTAATTTAAAAGTAAAATTATGTAATTACATTCAAATATTCTTCTAATTTCAGATCATCTGGTAAGAAGAAAAAAAGAAAAATGAAAGAAACTGTGCATTTGAGTTTACTTTTTTACATTTATTATAATCTTTATCAGTTATTTTCTGTTAATGGGATGATGCCACTTAATGCTAAACATAAATATTGGCATGTAATCTAACTGGATGCATTCAGCCCTTACAATATATAAAGCTCCATGAAGAGAATAACTATTTTGCATATGATGCTTAATGTGCACAATGCCAAATTGTACAATTCTCTAAATTTTTTTAAAGCAAAAACAAACCACTGTGCACATGGGGCAAAGAAACTGTTGTTCCACATACACAATGATCTGTTTTCACTGTAAGAAATATCAGATAATTGTATTTTGCATTGGGCACAAAATCAAAGAAAATTGATTATCTGCTCTTCATCATAAAAACAACTGAAAATTTAGGACCGTAGATTACTGTATTGATGTGCATTGCCTGACTGATATTCATTGATATCTCTTGTTCGCAACAATGCTATTGCTCACGTGATGCAAACAGGCTAGCATATTTGGCAATTTGTTTCCCATTAAAGAAAAACACCCCTTTTTTTAAATTTATAAGTTAGCTCAATATTTTTCTTCAAAGGATTTTCCCTATCCTTCCCATTATTTTCCTTTTGAGTCTTGTTAATTTATTTCCATCTTTTGCTGATCATGATAACCTAATTTTTCTTGATATATGAATATGCACTTATTCTGTATTCAATAATATTATACACTGTTATTTTGTATAATCCTTTTCAAATATCTGGCATCAGAGTGTTGAAAAATTAAACATTAAATTTTTGTTAAAATTAGTTTTTATTGCTTTTTTGTCTTTAAATATTAGTTGAGAGGGGATGCTAGAATCCACTTTGTTCTTGTATCTTGAAAGTCATTAGATGCACCCATCTAATTTTGCATGGTATGAAAGTATGTTTTAAAATTATATTTTCTGATTAGATAGATTTAAGTACTTTGTTTCTTATGAGTCTGCGTTCATTCGATGCTGACATCTTTATTATTGTAAACAGTGTCTTCTTTTATGCAACATTTTTTGTTTTAGAATATTTTTAGTTAAAAATGTTTTAGATTTGATAAATTTTTGGTATGCTTTTAAGGTTTTTTTCAGTTGTGGGGTGTGGTGTGTTTTTGTGAATAATATCTTTAATGGATAATTAAAGTGAATATTGACTACTTACTGTTTTGTGTACTAAATGTATAACTCATTCACTTTGGTGTGTTTTATTAAACTACTTTTCAAAATATGTCAAATGATTTTCAATGGCGTTTTGATAAAGATATCCAGTTTTTGAGGATATGGTTGAAATTTTTATAGTGTTGTATTAGTTTACTTAAAATAATGTACTTATTTTATTCACAACCAAGATACATTCAAATATAAAATTGTGAAACTGATGCTATGAATCTAATGCAGATGTTATTGTCAAATGTTGTTTTTATGGATAATTTTGATGAATATTGACTACTTACAGTTTTGTATGCTTAAATTTATTACAACTTGGTGAGTGGCGAGTTTTTCTAAACCATTTTTCAAAACGCTGAAGTGAATTTCAGTAGCTTTATAAAGCCACTGAAATTCATTCATACTTGTTCAGTTTTTGAGGATATGGTTGTATTTTTTATAGTGCTGTATTAATTAAGTTAAAATAATGTACTTATTTTATTTACAACCAAGATGTGTTCAAATGTAAAATCATGAAACTGATTCTATGAATCTCATGCAGATATTATTTTCAAGTATGTAGAAACATCAAATATGTGTTCTGTAAGCTTTAAATAACTTCATCAATAGCACAATTTTTATAAAAATAGTTTATTGTAGTTATTTTCATTTTAAAAAGATTAATTTACAGCTAATTTCACTTGTAAGTTTGTGGATTTCCCATTATTCCACGCATTGGCTTTTTTAATCTCTAGTATGTTGATCAAAAAGAAACAAGGTGATGTCAACCATGTAGGCAATTGATTGACTAAGACATTATTTAACTTTAATAAACATTATTTTAATCCCATCTTCATTTTTTCAAAGTACCACCCTTCTGCATTCAGAAAACATTTCAAACATTATACAAACACTGAATATTTTGAGTGTTTGCATAATAATTGGAATGTTGCCTGAATGTCTACTGATAGAAATACATCTTTTTATTTACTGCATTTTAGCAACAGTGTCATTTATGGAATCAAAACAGTTACTCTTCAGTATCGATTTCAAGTGAGGAAGTAGAATGTCATGAGAGGGCCAAATCTGGTAATTAAAAAGAACAAAGGACTATTGTGAACTTCATTTTGCCTAAACCTTAATGCATTTTCAGTGTGCTGTGACGTACATAACCTTGTTACCTTTACGGGGGGGGGTGAAGTGTTTACCTTTTTTCTGTTGAAGTTATCTGCAATAATTATTCTCTCTTACCAACCTCAACGCATTACTATATAATTACATACTCTATGAGAAGAAGAAAGGAAATTTAGTATTCTGCCTTTTCAAATAAAAACATTATTGACATTGTTGCATTCCCAGTTGTTCTTGGATTCAGTGGTGTAGGAGCATTTGGAATCCTTTGCTGGGAGCGTGCTGCTTCAGTTCAGAGTATTAACCATTTGTGAAGTGTTTACCTTTTTTCTGTTGAAGTTATCTGCAATAATTATTCTCTCTTACCAACCTCAACGCATTACTATATAATTACATACTCTATGAGAAGAAGAAAGGAAATTTAGTATTCTGCCTTTTCAAATAAAAACATTATTGACATTGTTGCATTCCCAGTTGTTCTTGGATTCAGTGGTGTAGGAGCATTTGGAATCCTTTGCTGGGAGCGTGCTGCTTCAGTTCAGAGTATTAACCATTTGTTGATTATAAGATACCATTTATTATAGTGTTTTATTAATATATTAATTTATGCATAACCAACCGGAAAGATACTGATCAGTCTAAGAAAATTAGTAAAGGAAGTAATGCACATGCATCTAAAAAGTGATTTTATTATAAAATTGTATTAACTGATAAGAAAAGGCCTGTTTATGAGTAGAAATAATGTTTACCATATCAATAACAATCTGGTTCTTTAGACTTTGTAATATCTTCATCCTAATGAATTTTAGTATTTATTTTAATTCAAAGTATAATTCTTTGTAGCCAGTGAAAGAGCATATTATGGAGCATTTTTACTTCCTTGTATGAAGTAAAGGAAATACTGTAAATGCAAAAAATTTTGGGTATCGTATCTCGGTGGAAATATCCAATTTCAGTGTTCCCAAATGTATTTGGATTTTTTTTTTTTTTTTTTAAATACTTGATAGCTGATAGCTATATGTGTGCATAGAGTAAAGGACTCTTTCCCCCCCCCCAAAAAAAAAAACTGATGAATTAAAAAGTTTTTTTTTTTTTTTTTTTTTTTTTTTTCCCTTGAGGTCAGTACATACATATGCATGTATCTTGCATAACTCAAAAAACGATTAGCCATAGAATGTTGAAATTTTTTTGTATGGGGCTGTTATAACATGAAGTTATATCTATTTCCTTTTTTTATTGCAACTGATATCATCAAGCATGTGTGTATATATATATATATATATATATATATATATATATGAATTTAATAAATACAATATTATAATCTCATTCATACAAACTAAAGTAAATATATATATTTACTTATACATACACCTAAACGTCTTACCCAGCTTAAAAGTCCTTACCTAGCCTTTTATTTTTGCACTTGTTGGTCATTGTTGCATACTTTCAATGACAGAAGTGTTTAATGACTTTTAAATGACAAATGTATTCACGTTTTGGTAGTGTGAAATTTAAAATATATATATATATATATATATATATATATATATATATTTGACTAATAATGAAATCTATCTATACGTATGATAACAGTTTAAATATGTAGCTAGTCAGATAAATATCGGTATTTAATATGAGTATATTGTTGTTCTAAAAAGAATATTTAATAGGCCATACTAGGAATCGTGGTGGCCACATCAGATGTTTTTAATCAATAAAAGGCATACAAACAAATCATTGTGTACCATATTGCAGAGTGAAGAAAAGAGGGTTGAAAGAAAATTATTGATTTTAAAGCACGTCTGTTTTAGAGGCATTTCTGTGAGGGGCTATGTCTGATTAATAAAGAAATCTCTTCTTCAGGTAACAGAAGTTTGGACAGATCTTATTAAAAGATATCTAGGGAACATTTCAGTCATGCTGCAAATACTGAGGTGAAGGCACAAATGAGAATACAGTATGGAAAAAAATTTGATGAGGGCTTGTAGACTTGGTTTCAAGACTTGTTGACCTGGTTTAGCTAAGTTTTCCAAAATTTAATTGGTCTTATCTAGTTTCTTTTTGATCAGCCTAGTATCTGTTATTTGGAGCTATTGTCTTCTTTATTGCAAAATTGTGTTGAGTAATAATTAGAAATGTGTCCATGAAATGCAGTGTAGTTTGTATTTTATGTAGTTAGTATTTAAGTATAAAAATATGTGGATGTATTGGTGTTTGGAAGTTTTTGTGTGATCACATGGCAGAATTTTTTCAATTCAAGTAGCATAACTGTTTTACAATCTTTTATCATTAAGGGAAGCAGATGCACACACAGCTATAAAACTCATAAATGTATTTAGAAAGGGATATCATAATCATTCTGAAATATCTGCCTAATACATTTGTAAGGAATATGTTAAGTTTTTAATTATACTTATAAATGTGTTATTTTGGGTATTCTGTAGACCTCACGTGACAATGTATAAATGTGAGGTATTGGTCTCTATTTGGTATTATAAGGGTTGATGTTACATTTTTTAAAGAAAAGCATAATACATTTTTTCAGCAGAATATTAGAAATATAGTCAAAAGTCGTTAATCCGTACTCGTCGGGACTTCGGTGATTCCGGATTATCGATTTTTCCGGGTTATAGATCATCAGTTTAAATATGGTAAGATGGCATGCAGAAATTACAAAATTAAAAATATGAAACTGTAATTTATGAAATAAAGAACAATTATGATCTAAAGGATATCAAAATTTACAAAAAGAAAAAGCTTAGTATTTATTTGTTTACTTTATTAAACATTTCTTTCAATGTAAGTTGTTTAAGTTGCTTCATTTCATGTGATAATACTTTCTCTTTAATTCTATTAAACAGACATAATTTCTTGTTTAGTTACAAAGTTCCGCTGTTCAAGTCCGTTGTGTCGAGAATACCGACTAATTTGTCAATCAAAATTTTTTTGTTTTCAATAACCTCTCTGTCACTTTCTTCACTATCGGAAGCGAATTATAATGATGAGGAACTTGATTTAAATCATATCAAAGATGGAGTACATCGAGATGAAATATTACATTTAGTAAGGAATTATAAGCCAAATAAAATAAAAACATCTGCCCTGAAGATAAGGATAGTGCTGACAGATCAACTTCCAATTCATTGTGCGCCTCTAACAGTCTGCAAAAAATAATAAGGCGGATTCAATTCGAAGATTAAGGAACAATGCAATCTGCAACATTAACTGAATTAGATAATTTTAGCTTAGCTTATACTGTCCGTTATACATTAAACGCACATGCGTAAACATATTATGTGCATGCGCACACGCATATGCACAGCCGTAAAGGTCTTACGCGCACGCTTAAACGCCTATGTGCATGTGCAGAAAGTTTGTAGCTTTGAGGTCCGGATTATAGATCATTCTGGATTATGGGTGTCCGAATTAACGACTTTTGACTGTATTATTCTTTGATCCCCCCCCCCCAAGTTTTGGATTTGTGAAATCTGTAAGTATTTAATTCGTTCTTTTTTTAATTTTGGCAGATTTGATGTAAACATATCTGGTATGTGGTTTTTTTTAACATTGATGGATTTCACTTTACATTTTTGCATGTCCAAGCAACTTTGTTATCACTTGAAAAATAAAGAATAAAATTTGCATAAGAGTGTGCTTGATCACAACATATTTTTTGCCTATCATAGTTGCCAAATATTTCCAGTGAAACTGGAAGACTCCATGTTTTTGTCACATATCCTAGTCTTCTGGTGGATCACTGAATCTCCCAGTGTTTAAGTTTTATTTAACCTTTACTAAAGAAAGTGTTTCCTAATAGAAAACTGATTTTGTTGAATTAATGAAACATGCAAATTCCATTCCCCCACTTCTGATATTC